GCGAGTGACTGTCCGGACGTGGCGGCGGTGGCGGCGGTGGCCGGCGCCGACATTTTGGCGGAGACGCCTGCGCTTGCCGCTTGGGTGGCGGGTGTGGTGCGCTCGTCCGCCGGGCCGGTGACGCTCGGCACATACCTGTACGCCGACGGCGAGGCGAACGTGCGTATCACCGCGGCGGCCGACGTCCTGACGCAGGCGGCGATGCGCGCGGCCGCCGCCTCGCGCCGCGAGCTCAGCCTGGCTTACCTGCCCTCGCAAACGGTGGCACACGTCATCCCCGCAGCCGCGGCGGAGGCGCAGCGGGCCAACGCGGCGAAGGCGCCCTGGTGGCAGTCGATGATGCGCTATCGTCTCGCCATACGCCCGCCGCTCAGCGGCGCGGCGGGCAGCGCGGCCGCGGAGCCGACGTACGTGCACGACGCCTACTCGATGACGCAGGGGCCAAATTACGCGCTCGCGCAGCACATGCGCCAGTGGCGTGCGATGCTCGCGTACACTGAGGGCTACGCCGTCTCCGCGCCGATGGCGCCGGCCGCACGGACCGCGTCCATGCTGCATGTGCACACCGTCGCGACGGCGCTCGACGGGTTCGGGTATTTCCGACCCCTCGAGGCCTTCGAGCCAGACTGTCTGCGCGCGTGCCTGGCAGACTCCACCTCGGGCAGGAGCTGTGCTCGGACGAGCTCCCGCTCACAGATGCCTGCCGCGACAATAGGCGGCGCTACTCGCCGTGGAGCTCTCGACGCCGATGCCGGCGCTGCCCTCGCCCTTCCACCTCTTCACTCGCCATGGCTTCCACGGCGGCTTCTGGCGTTTCCCGTACTCCTCCGACAGCATCGGCTCTTCGGCCTACGTCCTCGGCATGGTGCGCCCTTGGCGGAAGGAGGCATGAGTTGGGGGGCGGGACGGGAGCAGGGCTGCGCATGTAGTCAATTAGCACACCACGGCCCAGTGGGGATTTTGGCCTCCTCAGTGATCGTCTGGGCGAATCCTAAATGGCATGCAAAATGCCAATACGTCTCGTTTTTTGTGCGCTAACTTGTAGAGCACCTTGAAAAACTAGTATGTCTTGAACCGAAAAGTTTCTCGATGAAGTGGGGACGGACACCCGTGAATGGCCTTAATACGAAACGAGAAGGGACACACACATGAGTCATGACGCCGCACACACGACTACGAACACCGCACCGGGCACCGCGCGCGCACGCCCACCGCCCCGCCTAGGTGGGAAATGTGCCGTGCCAACGTCCTCCAGCAAATACATACCCCGTCGCATCTCAGCGCTCGCCTCAGGCGGTCACAGCGACCGGCTCGCCAACGAGCTCGCCCTCCGCGGGCAGCCCGACGAGGATGTGCGGCGAGCCCGCGACCATACACGCGACCGGCTTGTCAGCGCGCGCCTGGAAGATGATGCAGCAGGCCTGCGTATATGGAATGCCGGCACCCACAAAATCAAGCTGCGGCAAGTGCAGCTCCTGCGATGCGCCTGGCAGCTCGACGGGCTTCGCGAAAGACGACCAGTTGCTCACCATGCCGCAGCGCAGTCCCTGCCCACGCGAGGAGAATCGACTCATGTGTGAGCCGCAGCAGCATCGGTTCCATCAGCAGCACAGCTGCTGCGGGGCGCAGGCGGCTGGGGGGAGATGGGGCGGGTGGCGCGCTGTGTGTGTGCGCGCACGAGGTGCTCGCGGCTCGAGGGCAGGTCGGTGGACGGCGTGGCGGCGCGGCGTAATTTGGCGAGGGAGCGACGAAGGAGCGAAGGCGTGGCCACGTCCGCCAGCCTGTACAGGACAACGCTCTCGTAATTGCCTGCGAGGCTCATGGGCGCGTCCGGTAGCCTGCCCCGAAAGTTGACTGCCATCATGCCGAGGCCGAAGCCGCCACGCTGGAGGAACCAGGATGTGATGACGTCATTCGTCGAGACGAAGGCTGACGCACCCGACGCCTTCGCGGCCGCCTTCTGCGCGGCAATGTAAGTCTCGTCCACATGAAATGTGCGCACCTCCACCGTTGTTCGCAGCAGTGCCGAGTACAGGAGGCCGCCAATGCAGTTCATGACGAAGCCGGGGTTGAAGATGGCGCGCTTGCCGTCGCCCAGCGCTGCGTCAATCGCGTCGCTGACGCCGGGCCGCCGCTGCGCGTCCAACGCCACGACGTTATCGTTCGCGCTCAGCATGTTGTGAAGCATGTAGAACGTGTGGCCATCGCCGATGACATGGGACATGCTGACGACCAGAGCGAAGCGCATGGCTGGATCGTCGCTGTCTGGGACGAGAGTGACGCGAAAGATGGGTACCCCGAAGCCTGGCTGCCCCTTTTTGCAGAGCAATGTGGCCACGGCTGCGCCCATCTTGCGCATAGACGTCCCACGGCTCAGCGGGATCTCGCCCGCGGCGCAGGCTTGAAAGACACCGACGTCTGCTGTGGAATCGTAATAACACTTGCCGTTTTCAAGCCATCCGCCACACCACGGGTTGAATTTCAGAATTTCTGCCACGCGTGTGGCGAGGTATTCGGCGGCCGACGCGTGTGAACCTGAAAAGAAGGTGATGGTGGACACAGAGTTTTCCTCTGCGAGGAGCGTCGAACGCTCGAAAGGGAGCAGTTCCAACACGGACTTATTTGCAATTCGTGCGGCCTTCCGTCTCCTGAAGTAGAAGGCCGCTGCGGTAACGACAGCAGTGCCCGCTGCGGCGGCGAGAACCATTGTGCGATTCATATACATAACCAGACGCTGCCGTGCAGCCGCTGTCGGTCGGCTGATGTTTGGTTACCTGTTGCGCTACGCCGCGAGCCTGGCAGAATTTTAGAACGCGAGAGAGAGGCCCCCAAGGGCCTAGAAATCGCGCCTGCCTATCCCTTGTCTCCCAGTAGCTAAAAGTCTCCCAGTACGTACAACAAAGGCGCAGGATTTTTTTGAGCAGCCAGTGACTCAACTGCGTAGTAAACGCAAATCCCGTCCGCTCGATCGTGCCGGTGAGACGCGAGCGAGCGGGCGCTACAAACAAGAGACTACACACTTACATCGATCTCATGTGAGCTGGCAGGAATCTACCATGATCTCGGCGGTAGGCAGAAATCTCGCCGTTGGGCGCTGACTATTCAAACAACGAGCCCCCACAGCAATAGGGAAGAAAGCGAAAAGAACACACACATACGGCTTTATATCACCGTCCGGCCGTGCCCCGCTGTCGCGAACGAACTGCGCGTAGAGCGAGTCGGAGACAAGAGCCCCCTCGGCGTCGTACTCGGCGTCGTACGTCGGCGTAGAAGATGATGAGATCGTCGACGTAGACTCCGATGATGAGCTCGTCGTCCTCAGTGGAGCCCTTGATGAGGTTGAAGCAGGAGGTCCCATCGAAATCGCGAAAGTTCGTGTATCCGACGACGAAGGTCTTTGACGGCGCAGTCAGCACGTGCACGTAGTGGACTGTGGCTGTGGACGCCAGGTCCGTCATGCGGTACTTGTGCCACACCTCTGGCTTGTTGACCGTGTCGGGGATGGCGGTGACTAGGATCCGTGCCTCGTCCTCCGCGAAGCCGTTGCGCATGCGGAAGGCATCGAACGCGTCCTTGGCCTTGGCTTCCTCCCACGGCTTGGGGACCTCAGTGACGTTGCAGACGTCGACGAGAGAGAAGAGCTTCCGAATGATACGGTTGCTGAGAGGCAGGGTCGTGCTCGCGGCGAGACCGTGCGCGCCGCCATGGTAGGTGTATGCGATGAACCAGGTCCACAAGTTAAGGACGAGGGAAATGCAAAACGTGACGACGCCGAGCGGGACCCACATCACGAGGCCGAAGGCGTTGAGGATGGGCCCGGTTGTCGTCATGGGCAACCACTGGTACTTTTGCGGCGGGTGCGGTGGGTAAGGGCAATCCCCCTTGGCGTGGAAGGCGTCCCACTCGGCGCGCCACATCGGCGAAGGACGCTCGACGGCAGAGTCGCTCAACTGTGACCGGAGCTAGAGCCTATCTCTCGTAGGGCAAGCGGTCCCTCGCGCGGCAGCAGATGGCCTTCAAGGCCATCTGGGCGGAGATGGATGGGCAGGGCGGGACCGTCCACGCAGTCTACACGATGGTCCTCAAATCGCCTTCGGAAGTCAAAGACGAGTAGTGCGCTGCGCGCGGCCAGAGGGTTTAGCCTCCTGTCTCGGCAACCACCGGGCGGCGCGGCGCGACATGCTGTGCGGCGGCGAGAGAGGGGTGGGCTCGCGCGCACCCGGGCGCGAGCCCACCAGTGTTTCGACGTCGCTTTCGCTCGCGACGCGGGTTCCTTTTGCAGTTGCAGGTCTCGTGTGTAGCCTGGCCCAGCGTGCGCGCGCGGAGGGCAGTCTACCTATCGAAATACCGTGATTTTAAATCTTAGAAGGTGGTGTAGACGACCTAGCGGTATTCTGCAAAGGGGTGTGAACGGAGAGAGCAAACTCCTGGCAGCTCCCACAGCCGAAATGTGCGCCAGCTGCCCGCTCACCTGTGTCACGCCGCCGCGCACGCACCTCGCTATGTGCTCGCGCGAGCTCCCGCCCGAGCCTCCAGCTCGGTGTCCCACTGCTGCGGAGCCGATCGCTTCTCCTCGGCGCTCGCGTCGAGCCGAGCTCTCGGCACTCTACGGCAGGCGTCGCTGTGCGGGGCGCCCGTTTCCTGCTGGCCCGAGCGGAAAGCTCCACGTGCCCGCGCGAGCTCCCGGCCGAGCCTCCAGCTCGGCGTCCCACTGCTGAGGAGCCGATCGTCGTCCGTCGTCCGTCGGTTCTCTCGAGGAGCCGAGTTTTTTGGCCGGGGACGTTCCAGGAGGGGGGGGGGGCACCCCCCCCCCTCCTTTACCCGGGGGTTTTTTCGCGGGGGGGGCACGGGCGCCCCTCGCCCCGGGGTTTTTTGGGGGGGGAGCCCCCCCCCCCCCCCCCCCCCCTCCCTCGATCTCGCGGCGAGAGCACGAGCGCGCCGTCCTCCGGCGACGCGCCGCCACGCTCTTCCTTAGGTCGTCCTCCGAGATATCGGTGCCGGACCGGCGGGGCGGGGGCGGGGCGGCGTCGGAGCAAGTGTCTCGGCCGTCGGTCGACGGAGCGGCGACCCGCGAGCACGCTTCGTCGGCGCCCGACGAGGGTGGTGCCGCTGTCGCTCTGCCGCGTGCGCAGGCGTGCGCAGGCGTGCCGAGGTCTCGCGACGGCACTCAGCCCGAGCCCCTCCGGGCGCTCGATCGTATGCTCGTGGAGGCGTCGCGCGGCCGCAGTTTTCGCAGCGGCGGCCGCCGCTGCGGTGGATGCGGGCCAGAAAGAAGGCCGCGCGCGCGGCCAGGGGCCAGGGGCTGGCTCTGGCTCGGGCGAGGGCGATCCCGGTTGTCCCTCCGCGGGCGCCTCTGGTCATGCCCGCTTGCTCGACGGCTGGGTTGTGCGTGCGCGCGACTCTCGAGTCGTCGGCGAGTAGTGTGCGCGGGCGGTGGGTGCCGTGGAGATTAGGGGAGATCGCTTTGAGCTGCGGGAGATGTTTGGGAGAACGACCAACGAGAGATACAGACACGGCGGTACGGTGTCTGGAGTAACATCTCAGAGATTGAGCAGCGCAGGGGGTGTGCACCTGCCCCCCCATCTCCGGTCCAACGAGTAGAAACATGTTTCCAAAAAGCAGCTACGCCCGACACGACGACGAGACTCTCACTCTCCTCGCGCACTTCGCAGCAACCACAAGGTCCAAGGATCGGGCGCGGGAGTCAGAGGAATTAGCTCAGCGAGAGACACGCACTCACACTCACACACACACACACACACACACACACACACACTCACACACACACAGAGAGAGAGAGAGAGAGAGCGAGCGAGCGAGCGAGAGAGCGAGCGAGCGAGAGAGAGAGCGAGAGTACAGTACAGTGATCAACAGAGACCCCCACCCACACGCCGCGCAGTGTGGGAAGCGACGACGGAGACTCACTACTCGCACTCGCAGCACGGATTCAACGGGAGGAACGAGGGGACGCCCGGGCAGCCCCCGGGGCACGCGCAGCCGTTACGGTGCGCGTCCTGCCCGCCGCCCGGCATCGGCGCATCCTCCGCCGCCGCCGGGGCCGGCGGCTCGCCCGGGATTGGCGCGTCCGTCATCGGCGCGCCCGGCATCGGCGCGCCCGGTGGCGCGCCCGGCATCGGCGCATCGTCCGCCGCGGACCGCGGCGGCCCATGCGCCCCACAATAGGGCACGGCCACGCCGGGCGTCGCCCGCAGGAACGCGGCAAAGGAGTCGTGGTCGAACGTGCCCTCCATGATGGCGAGCCGCGTCGCCGCGTGGGGCGGGCGGTTGATGGCGTCGACGACGACGACGCCCCACGCGTGCTTGACGGCGTCAGCCTGCTCGAGCCCGCGCAGCCACTCCGCCGCGTCCTTCGCGGTGCACTCGTTGTACGACGACGTGCGGGCGGCGAGCATGTGCCGCATCGCCAAGTAGTCGCAATCGCTGCAGCCGGCGCGCTGCACCACGGGCGGCAGCGTGTAGCGCGTCACGGCCGGGAGGTGCTGCGCCGGGAAGCAGAGGGCGTCGCTGCACGCCGGGCAAAGGGCCAGGTGGCGGAGCGCGAGCCCCGCGCGAGTGCGCCGCGAGTGCGCGAGAGCCGCCGCTAGGCGGCGGTAGCTCTCATAGAGAGCGCCTGCGGGCTGCTGCTCGCGCAGCGCCACCTCGAACGCGAACTTTGCGTCCGCGACGAGCTGCGGCGCGTGCGGCGCCTCGCCGTGCGCCTCTGCGTCCGCCTCGCGCAGCGTCAGCGCGACGCCGCGCCGCGCGCCGAGCAGCCGCGCGCGCGTCAGCCAATGCGACGGCCAGCACTGCGGCAGCAGCAGCTCCTGCCCATCGGCGCCGCGCCAGGGCTGCTGCTTGAGCTTTGGGTCGGCGCGCCATTGCGGCGGCTTGGGGAGGCACTGCCGGTACCACAGTAGCAAACGCGCGTCGAGCTGTTGCGTGGACAGCGAGTCCGGGTCGCACGAGAAGGCGTTCGGGTCAGCGTACGGGCCCTCCATCGCAGCGAGTTCGTAGTGCATCTCAGCGCCCATGCTCGGCGGCCTGTGATCGCCGCCGTACGTCTGCAGGAGCCGCCGCACCTCGCGGACGATGCTCCTGTTGAAGGCGATGGTGATGTTGTCCTTCTCGACCGCCTCCGTTGCCTCCCCCTCGCCCAGCGGCTTGTCCGCCGTCTGGTACGCGTCCTTCGTCTCGACGGTGCCTCCGTCGGCCGCGTCGAGAACGCCCAGCAAGGCATCAGTGGCGATGGATAGCGTGCGCTCCGACGCCTCGCGAGCCGCCTCCCCCTCCCCCTCCTCCTCGCCGTCCTCCAGGTCGTCGAACAGCCGTGCAGCGGTCTTTCCTGCCTGCGCTCGCCGCACCGCATTCAGCTCCTCCTCCGCCGCCGCGCCCTCCGAGGCCTCCGCCGCCGCCGCCGCGGCGGCGGCGGGCGACGGCGTCGCGGTGGCGGCGGCGGCAGCCGCGGCCTTTTCCTCCGCCCGCTTCGCCGCCTCCCGCAGCCTCTTGTGACGCCTGCGTCGCGTGGCTTCGGCTCGCGAGCGGTTCTTGGGGTCGGGGTCAAACTCGACGCGGTCGATGACCCAGTGGTGACGCGCGTATGCCTCGCCGAGCGCGCGCACCACCCTCGCCCACAGCTCGCACTCCGCCTTGATGTCGCCCTGGAAGTGTGGCACCCTGTGCCACGGCCGCTCCGGGTTGTCCTTCTCGAGCTCCCGGTCGTAATCCTCGTGGCGCGCGGCAAGGACGGCGCGCCAGCGCTGCTCCGTCTGCGCAGGCCGGGGCCGCTCGACCATGAGCGCGTCCATCTCGACGTCCGCGTTCTCCTTCTCGCCGCCGCCGCCGGCGAGCGGCTTGCGCCGGCGCCGGCGGCCGGACGCCGCCGCCGGCGCAGGTGCGGGCGGAGTCGCGCGCCCCGTCTCGTTGTCGGGCGACTCCTCGCCGCCGGCGGCGTCGGGTGCGGCGACGTCGGCCTGCGAGTCGCGAGGGCGGCCTGCACCGGCGGCGGTCCGCAACGTCTCGCCGCCAGCCACGCCGTGAACTCATGGGCGATGTCGCTGTCGTCGGGCGGCTGGTACAAGCTCGGCTGGATGTGGTCCATGAAGGCCTCCATCTCGGCCGCGGTCACGTCGTCGGGCGCGTCGACGGGCTGCAAGGCCGTGGACCGCACGGCGGGGCGGCTGCGCCAGGACTGGCGCGTCGCTGACGACGAGCCGAAGCAAAAAGAGCTGGACGACGGCAAGCCCGGCTGCATTCTCGCACCGGGACGGCGATCCTGGTCGAGCATGAGACGCCGCCTGCTTTTGGATGTTTTCTTTCTTGATTCCGTTTGTTGCAAACGGAATCAGTTGCAAAACCCTGAATAAAAAACAAAACGCGAAAATCCCCTTTGCAGCCAAGCCTACCGGGCACCTAATTAACGGCTGCGAACAAAAGCGGCTCTGCCAACCGCGCAACGGCCCCACGTTTGGGTGGGTGGAGGAAAGAAAGAAAGAAAACCACTGTCAACCCGGCGAGCGACCGCTGGGTCGAGGAGCCGCCCCTGAGGTTCCACACCAGGCGGTGCGGCCGCCAGTGCCGCCATCGTTTCCGCCACCCGCACTGCCACTTCCGCCCCCGCCACTGGAACGGCTACAGGGTCGTGGGGCCGCCCCAGCGGCTCCATACCAAGCGTTTTGGCCGCGAGGGCCGCCACCGTGGCCGCCGCCCCTGCCACCGCCTCCACCCCCGCCACCGGCGGGGCCGCCGCCGTATGGACCCGCTCGGAATAACCTGGGGGGTCCGGGACCGCCCCGCCGGAGGCTGGTGTACCCGGGAGGAGGAGATGGGGGAGGGGAGTCGCCGCAATACGATAACGGACCCGCCGGCGAGTCGATGTCGGACTGCTTAATGGGCTCTTGGAAGCAGACACGCGCGGACCGCCGGCAGGCACGCGCGGACCGTCGGCCGTTAACGAGGGAAGAGCGGCGCTGCATGTCTGGACGGAGAGAGGAGAGGAGCTAGGGAGTCGCCGTTGCCGCGCTGGAGGAGACGGGAGCACCTCCTTCCTCACCGACTGCCCAGGTTTGACCCTGGTTACCGGCATTACCTCGGCATTCGTCCTTAGTGATCAGGCGAAAGATCGGGGGAGCCGCCTTTTGGTACTAAGGAAGTGCCCAGCCTCTTCAATCTGACGGCGCACGCAATGCATGAGACTAGGCATGAGATTTCCAAGTCGAAGGAGTGCTCGATGGACGATGCGCAAGCGAGCGGGGATGGCCCGCCACTCGAACCCGCAAGCGGGCGTACGAACGAACCGCGAGCGGCTCGCACTCGTGGCACACAGGCGTGCGACAGACGGCGCCGGGGCTAGGCGACCGAAGAGGAACTACGGCAAGAACCGCACACCACCCGCTGACGAGCGCTCGCGGAACAGGTCCGCGGCGCCCGCCAGGGGCGTGCGCGAGACAGGGCTCGGAGCCCTTTTCTGTGAGCCCCGGGATTCCCTCCCGGCGGGGGTTGTGGCGGAGAGCCGGCATGGGAATCGCCGGCCCCCACCCAGGGGGTGCCCCTGCCAGGCGCCGCAAGCGGTGCCCGACAGGGGCGGGTGCCCCCCCGAGAGGTGGGGGCGGGGTCGGGGTCCAAAGTGATTCGGCCTATCGCCTCGGCAAGGTCCTCGGTGTGATTCTCAACAGTCAGGCAGGCTTCAGGTGAAGAACAGCCAGGCTCGGGGCCACACCATACTCGGGTACCATACCATACCCCGCAAAAAGTCCGAACCCAGGAACTGCGGCCGAGGACAATGTTGCCTCTGCTTGTCGGCGCGCAGGCACTGGTGGTTGCGCCTCCGGCCGCCGGACAGGATGCGATCCGAAGCCTGATGACGAAGCACGATCCGATCCTGCTCTACGTTTCCAAGCTGCTTGAGCCGGACGTGGCGAGCGACGCCGGCGCACTCTACGCGTGGTGCCGCCGGCTCGATGAGCTCGTGGACGACCCGGCAGTGAGCGGCGACCCAGCGACGACTGTCGCGCGCATAGATGAGTGGCGGCAGCGGCTGGACGAGCTGTGGGAAGGCTCTCCACGCGACGATCTCGACGCGGCGCTGCTCGTGACGCTGCGGCGCAACCCGTCTCTCGGCGTGCAGCCGTTCGCCGACATGCTCCAGGGCATGCGCTCGGACGCGGTTCGCGCGAGGCGCGTCGAGACGGGCGTTCGTCCGGGATGGCTAATAATTGATGACTGCTCCACGACGAATCAGTAATAGGCGCGTCGCGACGGGTGCCGATCTGGAAGAGTACGCGTACCAGGTGGCGGGCACGGTCGGCCTGATGCTGCTGCCACTGCTCGGCGTGAGCGAGGAGGAGGACGTGGCCGCGGCGCGCGGCCCAGCGATCGCCCTCGGACAGGCAGTCTCGCTAACCAACCTTCTCCGCCACTACCTGACGCGCATTCAAAGTGGTGAGTGACTACTCGAGGATAGGCGATCCAGCTGATCAACATTCTCCGCGACGCTCGCCCCGACGCCGCACTCGGCCGTATCTACCTGCCGCGGGACGAGATGGCGGAGCGCGGCGTCGACGAGGCCGCAGTCCTGGCGCTGCAATGCACGCCCGCGTACCGCGGCCTGGTTGCGCACACCCTAGAAGCGGAATAATGTGTGTTCTTGTGTAGTCCAGCCAGCGCTCGAGAGGAGACGTGCTTCCGCTGTATTCCACCGTAGTCAGCTGTATTCGCTGTACTCGCCTCCCTCGTACTCACGCGGTGCTCTGAATACGCTGCACACAATCCCGTGCTCCCGCCCTCATGTTGGTGCGTTCACCTCTTAGGTTGCGCACACCGCAGAGCGCGCTGAGGCGTTTCTGGGGCGGGCGGAGAGAGGCGGCCGATCGCAGCCCAGCACCGGCCCGCTCCTCTCGCTCAAGCCTTCCACGAACCTTCTCGGAACCTTCCCCTAAGGCGGCCGATCGCTGCCCGGCGCCGGCCCGCTCCTCGTGGCAATCATCGCCGAGCCTCCTAGATGCGGCGCACGGACGCAAGCACTCGCGGCCATCATGCCCCAGCACTCAAGAGCAGCGAGTTTCATGAGACCGCGTCCTCCCTCTCCCCTCAGCTTGTGTCTGTGTGCATGCACTACACAAAAGCACATCCCCGGGGCCCAGTCGCCCAGATCGCACGCACGGACAGTCGAGAAGTTGCATGCACACACTGCACACACCAGCTCGAGCTGTAGTTGCATGCACACAGGTCGAGTTGTACCGCGACTATCTGACGGAGCTCGCGCGCCGCGGCTTCGACAACCTGAGCGCGGGGGGCGACCGCGTGTCGATCAGCACGCCGCGAAAGGTGTGGGCCACGCTGCGGGCGCTGGCAAAGGTGCTGCGACCGGAACCGGCGACGTGGACTTTTTAGTTTTTTGTGTTGTTGTGTGTGCGCGCGCGCGGCGCCTTACATTGGGAGCTTCTCGAGCCTTCCGACTAGTTTTTTCGGCGCTCCGACTAGGGGTCGCGATGCCACACCAAGCTACTGCGATACCACACCAACCCCGTGTCCCGAATCCAGCCCTTGGCGTTGGTGGTGCCGAACTCGAGCATGGCGCCCGCCCGCAAGCGCGCCCGCACCGCCGGCGAGGGCGGCGACTCGGGCGGCGGGGCTGTGACGGTCCCGGATGGCTTCGAGCCGCCCCTCTTTGGCGCGCGCGTCGTCGGCCAGGTCACCACGCTGCCGCTCGAGGGCGAGGACGGCCCTCTGGCAGCGCTCGGCGTGTACGGCGTCGCGAGCGATCGCGCGGGCGCCTGGTACGTCACCACTCCTGACTCAGTGCTGCACGTCTCTGCGGCCGGGCGCGTGCGCCGCGTGGCAACGCTGGTAGGCGTCAACCTCCGCGGCATCGCCGTCAGCCCGGACGCCAGCGCGCTGTTTGTGGCGGACTTTGGCGGCCACAAGATCCTACAGGTGGAGGCGACGACTGGCGCGGTGACCACTCTCGCGGGCAGCGGCACCGTGGGCAGTGCTGAAGGCGTGGGCGGCGCGGCGCAGTTCTATAGTCCAAGCGACCTTGCCATCAGCCCAGACAGCAGCGCTCTGTTTGTGGCTGACTCACACAACCACAAGATCCGGCGGGTGGAGGTGGGGACTGGCGCGATGACGACGCTCGCGGGCAGCGGCACTGAGGGAGGCGCTGATGGCATGGGCGGCGCGGCGCAGTTCTACCTCCCAATCGGCGTCGCCATCAGCCCGGACGCTAGCGCGCTGTTTGTGGCGGACTTCGGCAACCACAAGATCCGCCGGGTGGAGGTGGCGACTGGCGCGGTGACGACGGTGGCGGGCAGCGGCACCGAGGGCAGTGCCGATGGTGTGGGTGGCGCGGCGCAGTTCTACTACCCAAACGACATCACCATCAGCCCGGACGGCAGCGCGCTGTTTGTGACAGACGCCAGCCACAAGATCCGGCGGGTCGAGGTGGCGACGGGCGCGGTGACGACGGTGGCGGGCAGCGGCACTCGCGGCAGCACGGATGGCGTGGGCGACGCGGCGCAGTTCAAAAACCCACTCGGCGTCGCCGTCAGCGCCGACGGCAGCACGCTGCTGGTTTGCACGAAAGGCGGTGGCCTCCGCCAGGTCTGCGTGTCGGCGCCTCCTCCGCCTCCCACCTTCGCGCCGATTGTGGTGCCGCCCTCGACCATGGTGGACGACTTCGGAAAGATGTGCGGCGACCCCACTCTCCCCGAGGGCAAGGTCACCTTCATCGTCGGCGATGACGAGGAGCGCTACGAGCACGTGAGCAAGTGCGTCCTCTGCGTGCGGTCCGTGTTCTTTCGGACCATGTTCGGCATCGGCATGAAGGAGCGCGACGCCGCCGAGGTCACGGTGCGCAACACCGATCTCGCCACCTTCACCGCCCTCGTCCGCTACCTCCTCACCGACCAGCTCGACCTCGGCGAGGAGGGGGGCGGCAGAGCGCAGCGCGCGCTCGACCTGCGGCAGCTGGCGCAGATGTACCAGGTGCCGCGCCTCGAGCTGCTCTGCGCGCAGGCGCTGCAGGAGAGCGTCGGGCCGGCGAGCGCCGTGCCGCTGCTCGAGGCGGCGCACACGATGGGCGACGGGCGGCTCCTCGCGCAGTGCCGCCGCTACGTGGCGGACCACGCCGCCGAGGTGCGGGCGAGCGGCGGCGTGGAGCAGCTGCGCGACCTCGGCGTGGCCAAGGGGCTGCTCGGCGACGCGCTCGACCAGGTGGCGGAGCTGAAGGGGACGGTGGCGGAGCTCGAGTTGGAGCTCGAGAAGGTCCGCATGTAGGGCTGAGGTTCGGGTTGCACACTCTTTGTGGCAGCGGCTTAGGGCGTGCGCGAGAATCGGCTTGCAATTTTGCACGTGACGGCTGGCGCGAGCATTTTGAGTCCTCGTACTAGTGGGAGAAACTCGTGGAATACTGTCCCGTTTTGCTGTTCACAGCTAGGGACGGGAAAGTCAAACAACCCCACCACCGCCTCCCTCCCTCCCTCCCTCCCACAGGCAAACCTTCGGCTCCCGCTCAGAGGCTCCCCGCGCCCGTGCGGCGCGCCGAGGCGGCGCCGAGGCCGGCGCCTTGCACCCGGCCCGCGGCCGGCACCGCCTCGCCCCACAACTGACCGCCCTGCGGCCCCTGCGCAGGCGTACCACAGGCGTCGCTCAAAAAGCGACGCCGGGTGTGGGCTGCTCCCTTGACCCGTCACCCGCCGCGCCCTCGCCCGGCCGCCTCACCGCTCACGGAGCGTGCTCGCCGCCGCCGCCGCGCGTCCCGCGCCGCCACGCATGCCCCTTGCCCTGACGCGCGCTCTGTGCAGTGGCGCAGAGCGCGCGTCCCTGGCACAGACGGAGCAGCGGCCGCGCCAGCGGTCGCTGCTCCGCCCCCCCGTCGCGCGCGCCGTGCGCGCGCTGCCGCCG